GTGTCCACGGCTGTGAGTGGGACTCGACTGGTAAGGATGTAGGATGGAAAGGAAAGAGGGGATAGGTTATAGACGAAGATTATAGGGTGGGGAATTTTTTGAGTATTGGAAGATATGTATCCGGTAATGATTCTGTGTCCTCCTGTTTGTTCAGTCCTGTATTCTGTCTTTTTATATGTAGCATTTCGGAAGTTAATCTTTTGCTGTAACAAGGTTCTCTGTCTAATATATCAATTTCGTCCCATTTAAAGTCATGATTAAAATCCATTCTGTGGCACGAAATTATTGAGGGAGAGCCTGTTTTTTTATTGATATCCGTTCTGTGTTCTTTTATTCTAGTCCGTAATTGTCTTTTTGTCTGTCCTACGTACGTAGCGTCACAGTCTCGACAAGAAATCTTATAGACAATTTCACACTGGTTCATCCTATCTAGAGAGTCTTTTCCGGTTTTTATAAATTTGTTCAATTTATTGTTGCAAGAAAAGGCCAACATACAATCGTTACTTTTTGTAGATTTGAACAAATTGTTCCGATAAATTTTTTACATATGGTACCGTAAAAATCTTTCTTTTGTTATTATTGTTCGTATTTGCGTTATTATCGTCATTTTTGTTAAAAATCTTGTGTATATGAAATTTTATTCTATTTTTAATGGTTAAGAAAATAAAATCTAAAGGATAACTATTGTTTAATAAAATAGTTATTATGTCTTCTAAATTTTTTTGTTGAAATTGTGGATGGGATAACATTAGTACTCTATCAACCATGCCAATAATAACGCCTTTTTTATGTGTTAAAGGGTGGTGTGAATGGAAATTTAAATATTTCCTGAGTATGTAGATTTGTGAAAAATGTCAAAAATAATATTAGAGTTGTCATTAATAATTAAAACGTTGAGAAAATTAATCTGATTTTTATTATTAACTTCCAGTGTGAATTGTAATCTTGGATGTATAGAATTGAAGATGGAAAAAGTTTCATTTATAAGGTCGTTAGGGACTGCAATAAGGATGTCGTCAACATATCTGTAATAAAAAGACGGAGCGCATGGTAAACGTTCTATGGCTGAACACTCTAAGTCTTGCAGAATAATATCCGCTATGATGGGGGATAATGGAAAGCCCATTGGTGTACCAAAAACTTGTTTGT